ACCCGAAATCCTCTTCCTCCTCCTCCTCCTCCTCCTCCTCCTCCTCCTGATACACGTGCGAATACCCGAGCTGCACCTTCAGGAGCTTGTGCGCGCTATCGGCGGCGAGGCAGCGGCGGCGGCGGAGTCGGCGGTCCCGCCTCGCGACGACGGTCTGGTTTGGGCCCTGCATGTGCCGCAGAGGTGGCGAAGCTGAAGGCGGCAGGGGGGGCGGCGGCGGCGGCTGGGGCGGAGCCCCCTCCTCCTCCTCCCCCCTCCTCCTCCTCCTCCTCTCTCCTCCTCCCTCCCCTCCCCCTCCTCCTCCTCCTCCTCCTCCTCCTCCTCCTCCTCCTCCTCCTCCTCCAGACGGGGGGCGGAGGCGGCGAGGGCGACGGCCCTGGCGAGCGGAACCTCAAGGAGACGGTGCGGAAGCTGGTGCGTCTTGCCCTCGCGCGCAGCAGGCAGCTGGCGGCCCTCGCGGCGGTGGTCTACAAACGCTCCACGTGCCCAAATCCACCCCGAAAGATCTCGGCACCGTGATGGCCAAGAGCGGCGCAGAGTACGCCCGCGAGAGCAAGGCGCTCAAGGAGCAGCAGAAGGCCGGCCAGGACGTCGGCTTCAAGGCTCGATGCGCCCCTCACATCCACTGCTCTTTGGCGCTGCTCCACCACACATCACCTTGCTCACCGGCCCCAGCGGCCCGCATGCGGACGAGAAGCCATACGCCATCCTGCGGGGCTTCTGGGCCGACGTGGTGATGGTGAGCGAGATCCCAGCCCTGGAAGAGAAGATCCTTCGATGCCGCGAAGAGAAGGCACGCAACGACTCAGAGTATAACCTAGGAGTCCTGTCTTTGGCCGTGGAGCGGTGCTCGGCGTCGACGGAAGCAGTCTTCGATCACATGTGCCTCTTGATGATCACGAAGGGGACGTGCCAGAAGTTGACGGCTCCCGCACTAAGGGGGCCACTCAAGAGGGACCTCGCAGCGGAGGTGGAACAGGGAAGGGGTGGCGGCAATGGCAGGCGGGGCCAGTGATCCCTTCCATACTCCAGGGTAGTGATAGACTTGCTCACCTGATTTCGCGTGGTATTGTTTCTCCCGATTTTTTGCAGTCGCGTGCAGCGTCTAGTACAGGTGTTGATCAGTAGCAGGTAACTAGCATGACTGCGCATTTTTTCCCGCTCTCCCATCCATTGCTGTTGTTGTGCTGCCACCCGCGCCGAAATGGAAGGGTGGGGGACAGAGGCCGTGGCCGCAGTAATGCGAGGGTGGGTTCATCGCAACGACATGCAGCTCAGCCGCCCGCGCCCCGAGGCAAAAACCGAGGAAGTTGGCACGCGCGCGCGATCGCAGGGAGGGGGCGGGGTCGGGGACGAGGTCGGCGGCGGGTTCGGGAGGTGGGAAGTGATGCAGTCGGTCCCTAATGGGCGACGCCCACCACCCAGGCTGCGCACCAACGGGGGGGAGCCGCCGCTCGGGGCAGCGCGGCTGTTGGCCGATTGGCCAATGGGTCGCTTTCATATACGCACTTGTGGCAGTCACTCCGTGAGGCCGACGTTCAGAAACATTCTGGTCGCGTGACGATGCAAACCGTATTCCCAGATATGTATCCAATAGTCAGTACTCCTTCCTCCTCCTCCTCCTCCTCCTTTTCTTCCCCCCTCCCCTCCTGCTCCTCCTCGCCCTCCTCCCTTTTCTCCTCCTCCTGCTCCTGCTCCTGCTCCTGCTGCTGCTGTTGCTGCTCCTCCTTCTCCTCCTCCTCCTCCTTCTCCTCCTCCTCCTCCTCCTCCTGGTCTTTCCCTTGAAAGAAAACATGCGTTTTCTTCTAGGCGTCCGCCTCCCCCCCTAGGGCTCCCCGCTGCGATCCGCAGGGTGCTGCCGCTCTGGCCGCCCGCCCAGAGGGGATCATCGCCAGGGGCAGTGCTCGGGGGCCCTCCAAACGGCGTTGCCACTCACGGCGGGTCTCCAGCCTCGGGATACATTCCAGCGGTTGCGCCTCGCCCGGAGCGTCCCGGGAGGGGCCCAGATCGTCCCGAACGGCCGCCCAAAACCTGAAACATGGCCCGGGCGCCACCGAGGACGGGGATGGGTTCACTGGGGATCCGGGGTCGCCGCGCGGATTTGGGATTCGGGCCGTTCTCATTCGGGGGCCTCGAGCGACCGGGGCATCCGAGGCCCCGAGACCGCGCGGTGTGGGACCGCGTGGTGGGGTCTCTTGGGGCGCCGAGGTCGTCACGCGGTGCGTCACCACAGTGCCTCGGACCTCCCAACGCGCTCGGGGGGGGGGCCGCCTCGACCCCCCGCCGCCCGCTCGGCGCCGTTCGGGGTGCCTGGCAGCCCCCCCCCGCTCCCAGGGTCGCTGCGGCCTCGCCGGTGGATGCCCATCACCAGTATGTTGGCGATGTATCGCCGATTTCGGCTCGATGTCTCCTCCACCGCCCCCTTGTCCTCCTCCTCCTCCTCCTCCTCCTCCTCCGTTCACCTCCTCCCTCTCCCTCTTTCTCTATTCCGCCTCCTTCTTCTCCTCATCGCCCGCCGCTTCCTGCCCCAACGCCCCCTGGCGGCTCCCCTGGGCGGGGGCCAGCGGATACCCGACGACGCGTCGAAGACGTACCCGTTGCAGCGAGGCCCTTCTCTCTTCTTCGAGGAGGAACAGCGGCATAAACAAACAGTTTCTGAGCTCCGCGCGGACTTTTTGGATTGGCGCTTTGTCTCCCTGGCGGCGCCTGCGGAACCGAGCCAAGAAATCCGTGCGGACCCCCGGAAGTATATACTTATGCATGTGTTATTTCTCTATTAGTTTCCCTCTCGCCTTTGCCCCCCATGGGGAGTGTAGGAAGGGGCGCAAGAGGCGGCCCACAGCTCCAGCGCATGGCACACTTGCATGTGTAATTCCAACGGTCCCGGGCTGCTTTTTGCGTTCCCCCTCTTGCAGTGTAACAGGCGGCCGCTACCGTGGTGTCTGATAAGCAGTCCTGGACTGAGCTTCATCGTATCCTTTGCAATGCTTGCTTCCTGTGCAGAGTGTACGTTGGCAGAGAGGAGTGGGAATAAGAGGAGGATCGAGTCTTGAGATTGTGTTTGCCGTTTCATTTGTTGTCGTTGTTTTCTCTCTTTGGAAGCCTGTGGCGACCTCGGGGGACCTCCAGAGGCATCTGTGGACCTTAGGAGGCCTCCGGATTGATGATGATGATGATGCTGCTGCTGATGATGATGATGATGATGGTGATGATGATGATGATGATGATGATGATGATGATGATGATGCTGCTGCTGATGATGATGATGATGATGATGATGATGATGATGATGATGATGATGATGATCAGGAGGAGGAGGAGGAGGAGGAGGAGGAGGAGACAAGAAGGAGGAGGAGGAGGACAAGGAGGAGGAGGAGGAGGAACAGGAGGAGGAGGAAGAAGATGAGGCCTATATTGCGACAGGCGGCGGAGATACCTGGTGGTTCCATCATGTGGTCCATCGTCCGCCTCCATCTTTCTAGGCCTCCTGGATGGAAACGAGTAGATGGCATCGGCGATGCAGCTCGATGTGGAGGCCGATCCCTTCCACGCCGACGTCGCCGATGCATCGCCGATGTATCGGCGATGCGGCGCGACCCTCCGACCCCATCTGATTGGACCCTATCGGACGGGGCTAGGACGAGGATCAATCCGTTCCAGAGGTCCCGGAACGCTCTGAGGAGGCCTCGGCGCCCCCTCCCTCCAGAGCCGCCAGATCCCAGAGGTTCTCGATTTCTCCTCACCCGACTGTGTCCTCGTCCTGGCTTCGTTTTCATCTCGGAGGCCGCTCATCTCTCCCCTCGAGGAGCAGACCCGCCCCTCTTCCCTCCAGGCCTCGCGGCCGACCGCCCCTGCCTTCCCCCCAGCAGCGCCTCCCCCTGTCACCGTCCACCAGACCACCTCAACCCGATCCGAAGGCCCCAGTTTGCCCTCCATTCCCGGGGGGGGGGGTCGTCGGGCAGCATTGAGGACACGTGTGGGACCCGTACCCCCCCCCCCCAAGCCGAAACCTGGGTCTTCGGGTTGGGTTGGGGTGGCCTGGTAGGCAGGCCGCTGCCCCTCCCAGCCCAGCCCACGGCGGGCCGGGAGGGGTGCGGGGTGCGGGCGCGTGGCTGGGCGCGCGGCCAGGCACGGAGGAGCCCTCCTCCCTCCTCTCCCCCTCCTCCTCCTCCTCCTCCTCCTCCTCCTCCTCCTCCTCCTCCCCCTCCTCCTCCTCCTCCTCCTCCTCCTCCTCCTCCTCCTCCTCCTCATCCACGGCCAGGACCGCCGACGGCCCGATTCGGCGCGAATTCGGTTCTCGCCGCTGGGGCCGCGATGCCAGTTCTGATCGATCGCAGTGGGGCCTCGCATGAAGACTCGGGGGTGGACGGACCTCCTGTCCTGGCACGTCGATTCAGGAATGGGCCGTTTTCGGTTCGCGAGAGGGCGTCGCGGCCGTCATTTCTGCGGGTCCAGGTCCGTCGGTTTCGGTCCCAGGCCGTTTTCGCTGAAGGGAGGTTTGCTAGAGGGAGGTCTGTCCAAAGCCGAAAGAAGCTGCTTGATCTTCGTCAGGGTGCCCTGGGTTTCTTCGCTTCGCGCTCTGCGCGGTGAACCCCCCCCGCGTCCGCTGGAGAGCCTGCTGCGTCCCGGGTGCTCCGGTCTGCCCCCCAGGTCTCGGGGGCGGAAAAGAGGGGGGTGATGACTAGGGGGGGGTGGATATCGTGGCGCGGGCCGTGATATTTCCCCAGATTCCATGGCGCCTCTTCTCACTCCATGACGTCCCTGGCCCCCCCGCTGGGCCGCGCACATGCCGCCGGTCATGATTTGCGCCCCCCCCTCTAGGGCGACGAGATCTATGCATATCCACTGCTCCTGACCAGGCCCATCCTGGGCCCAGGAGCGGTGTATATGCCTCCCTGGCCAAGCCAGGAGGGCGTATACACCGCTCCTGGGCCCAGGATTGGCCTGGCCGGGAGCAGTGGATATGTATAGATATCGTCGCCCCCCCCTCTTGGACACCCCCCTCTTGGCCTCTCCCGAAGGTCCTGCCTCGCGCGCGGGTCTCCAGGGCTGCGCTTCCGGCGGGGGCTGCTGGCGGCCGCGCCCGCACTGCAGCTGGCCTCGGCCGGGGCCCGCCGGAGCCCTGGCGCGGCGAGCCGATCTCGGTTCGGTCTCGGGACGGTTCGCCGGCGATCCGATTCATCTCCGACCCGATCTGATCTCGTGATTCGATCCAGCTCTCACCACCCACCAAGCCACCCCAACCCAACCCGAAGGCTCAGATTTACCCTCGATTTCCAGTCGGGGGGGGGGTCGGGAAACATCGAAAAAACACATGTGGAACCCTTACCCCCCTCAACCCGAAATTCGGGTCTTCGGGTTGGGTTGGGGTGGTCTGGCAGGCAGTCCAGCTCAGGCCTGGCAGCGGGGGCGGGTTGGCGGCGCGCAGAGCGCGGTCGGGCGGGGTTGGCGGCATCCTAGGAGGGCAGGGCCCTTCCCAGAAGGCTTCTCCTGGACGGGGCCAGGACGAGGACAAATCCGTTCCAGAGCGTTCCGAAGCGCTCTCAGAGCGTTCCGGAACGCTCTGAAAAGGCCGCGGCGCCCGAGACATCCTACAGAGCCGCCGGATCTCAGAGATTCTCGAGATATATCCTCGTCCGACCCTGTCCTCGTCCTGGCTTCGTCTCACCCCCTCCGCCCCAGCCCCCTCACCTTCTGCCCCTCCGCCCTTCCCCCCTTCTCACCAGCCACCAAACCCAATTTGTGCGCCATTCCCAGTGTGGGGCGGGGGTCGGGGAACAGTGAGAAAACACTTGGGGAGCCCGTGCCCCTCCAACCCGAAATTGGGGTCCTCGGGTTGGATTGGGGTGGTCTGGCAGACAGTCACCTCCCGCCCTCTCGCCCCTCTCGCCCTTCCGCCCTCCCACCCCCCGCCCGTCCGCCCGTCCGCACTTCCGCCCCCCCTTCCCCCCTTCCCCCCTTCCGCCCTTCCGCCCTTCCGCCCCAGCCCCCTCCCCTCCCGCCCCCTCCCGCCCTGCCGCCCTCCCACCTTCCGCCCCTCGTCCGCCCGTCCGCCCCCTCGGGCCCGCCCGTCCGCCCCTCGGCCCGCGGGCCCCTGGCCGCCAGAGGGACCCCCTGCTCCGAGAAGCCCCCCTTCCCCCCCCCCCGGGGCCTCGCAGGGGGCCGACGCTCTCTCTCTCTCTCTCTTGTGGCGTGCGCCCCTCCGAGCGGGGGGGCGCCTCGGATCACGCCCTCGTTGCCTTGTCGTCGTCGTCGTCGTCGTCGTCGTCGTCGTCGTCGTCGTCGTCGTCGTCGTCGTCGTCGTCGTCGGTCGTCGTCTCCCTCTCCTCCTCCTCCTCCTCCTCCTCCTCCTCCTCCTCCTCCCCCTCCTCCTCCCCCTCCTCCTCCTCCTCCCCCTCCTCCTCCTCCGCCTCCTCCTCCTCCTCCTCCTCCTCTTCCTCCAGCCCCCCTGGCCCGAGAGATTGAAGGAATGGGGGCGGGACGCGAACTCACGCAGACTTCCTTCGGGGGCTGCATTCTCGCATGCACGGCGCTCGCTGCGGTGATGTCCCTGCGCGTGTTGGGGTTCAACCCACTTGCGGCGACAGGCCTGCGTCTTGACGAGATTGTGGGGGAAGCGAGAAACTGTGATTTTATTCTCCTGGCGGGAACTCAAAACGTGCGTCGTGATGCTGAGCAGAAGGTTTTGAGGGCTCGCCCCACGGGCAGGATGGTGCTGGAAACGTCGGTGACCCGAGAACCCTTTTCGAACAGAAGTTGTGGGTGCTCGATTGTCCTACCCCATGGGGCCACCGAGTCGAACCTCAAAAGAATTTTCCTAGCCCAGCAGGAGCGGGAGGGAGGGGAGTGGCGGTCAGATACAAGAAGGGGCCATTGGATTTATGCCTTATCGTATTATACTATCCTCCCCAAGCTTCCAGAGCAGCTCGACAAGGCTACTTAAGTACGGCTCGTATCTTGTCAGAGTGGCTGGGTGCGATCCTATCCAATTCGCCGTGCCGCTGTACGCCTCTCGTGTTCTCCGACGTGAACGACGGGATGGGGGAGACGAAGGGGGCGGAGGGCTGGAGAGTTCTGTAATCGTCGTCTATAGTACTATAGGGTGCCCTACACGGGAACAACTTCGTGGTGGGGCAGGGCACTTGTTTCGGGAACAACTGGAAACGCATCACATGGTGGCGGGGAACACGTTCACCACGAACCCTGTGCCAACTTTTTTTTCGTCTATGGGCGGAGGGGCGGGGACAAGGATCGACTATTTCTGTTACCCCGCGGGCCTGAACCACAAGGTCAAGACATGCCACCCTCTGATGAACCTGGGAGCGAAACTGCAGGCCTACACGGCCCCCCCCGCCTAAGGACCATTTGCCGTTGTACTTCGAAATGCCGTGTTGGAAAGGTGGAGACGAGGGCCCTGCGGCCGCTCCGCCGCTGGCTTGGGATTTTAAAAACGCTATGATGGGTGCCGCTCGATGGGGGGAGGGTCGAGCCGAATTTCTGGAGACGGTCAAACGTGAGCTGCAGCGGTTGCCTATGTTGTCTTACCTCCACAACTCCTCGCCAGATGCGATCTTTGAAGGGCTTGAGCAGACGATCGTCACGGTAGG